CAATAATTGACATTATTGTGACTACTAATAACCTCTATAAAAGCAGAAATTAATTATTCCACTAGACGGATCCTTCTTGTTGAGAAATTCGAGAGTGATAATAGCGAATTAAGAAAAAATGTAAAATTTAACAAAGTGAAATTATCAAACTGCAAAAATAAACTCAGGCTTTATTAAACAAATAAAAGGGGGTCTTTATATACACATTATTTCAGACATTGATCACAGATGGGCTGATGACGGTCGTGGGTAGATTTATCCAGATAATACTCGGATGTAATGATCCCATATAGAAAGGCCATAATGAGATGTCAATAACAATAACAATAACATTCATTCTTAAACTGTGTATGTCTTGTAGCACAACATTCAGGGGAAAATGTAGTTCTTATTAAAGATAGCTGTGGCACCTCAATGTGGCTGATGTAACCTTCATATGTTTTCATATTATGTTATTATTTAAATGTATGCCTTATACTTGTATGAAGGATGATATGAGATCAAGCCTGTACATAAAGTAAATGATCAGTATTTAATATAAAGTACCAATAAGAATTATATTTAGGATTATCAAATGGAAGATTTAAGAAGTGTAGATAGAGTCATATATTAAGTATATAGCCTCGATCACGACACTTGTCTTTTTGTTATTATAAAAAAACAATAAAGTTATCAAAAGTTTCATTTTATTTTTTGACCCTTATTTATCACAAGCCTCGTCCATTTCATTTATTAAAAACACTCTTTATTTTTCCTCTTATCTTTAGTTGACTTTAACATCAAAACACTCTGACAAGAATTCCAATTGATCCTATTTTTTTTTTTTTTGCCTTTTTTTCTGCCAGACTATCCCCATTAAGCCTACGTTTGCTACAAAATATACAAACATCGATAAGATGTTCTATATTTAGGATTACATATTTACCCATGTCTTAGATAAAAATAATCAACAGAGTGGATAAATGATCAAACATAACTACATGTTCTACCACAGCCAATTAAACATAAAAACCTTATGCATCTTTTAACAAGCCACCGTTACACAATATCTTACCGGTATTTAGTATTTTAAACAGAACAATAAGAGTGTCCCAGATCGGTTGATTCAGGGCGACGTTATTTGAAATCAATTCTAACGAGTAGAATTCATTTAATGTAAGGCGGGAAAGTAAGTATAGATTTATTACAAGACCAGAAAGGTTGACTCAACACAACTACCAGGGGAAGTTGTTCAATATAAAAAGGATCAATTATTTCATCGCAACAGAGTTCTTTTAGTCTATTTTTACCTCCAATAAAGATATACTTTTTTCTCATTACTTTTTCATTGTAATATTTTTGTCAAATACCACACCTTGGTTTTGACTTAATTCTGATTGAAGTGGTTCGGGCCATTGGTCGGGGCTTCAAAAATATAGTAAGGGCTAATCTTGTATAGGATTGGCTTTGATATATTTGACCGGTTTGCTTAAAATTACGGAAGATGTATTACTAGTAATGTTATTTTTGGTTGTATTCTATAAATATGTGGGTTGAACAGAAGTAGCAGCCGGAATACACTCAGGACAAACTCTTCGTGATAGAAAATTAGGAGATAAGTTTTTAAAAAATCAGAGCAAAAAATTGTAAATATTAAAATAGATGCACGGTACATTGTACGGTCATTTTTTAATTGTCAACTGGCCGGTTAACCTGTCGGTTTTTTAATTTTCGACCGGTGTGTTGACCGGTCGTCTTTTAATTTTCGACCGGCGAGTTGACCGGCCGTGTTTTAATTTTCGACCCGTGGGTTGGACGGTCGATGGATAAACGTTGAAAGTTGGCTGGAGCGGGTGGTATTTCTAAACGTATACGACTTATATGCCATATGAGGTTGCAGCTTAATATTATGTCCTAACAGTTATTCTAGTTTACCACAACAACTATCCGAGACAGATTGGGGAGCAATGTGTCACACGTATTGTGATAGGGTCGGATTTAAGCCAGAAAACATTTTATCAGAGTTATAGAGAGCCTACAAGATGTAGTCTAACAAAACCATAGGGTCCTCGCTGTTCTATCAAACAATATAGACAGTTTATAAGATAAAGAAAAAGGTAATTGTGAGACTGGGTAAATTGAATATCGTTTTATTATTGAATTAGAGGATGGTTTATATAGGAATTGACAAAGTCCTTTTGGTACTTGTCAATTAATAGAGCAAGCTGAGAGAATGATTTATAATGTGAACATATTGCAGTAAGCATGTGTGGACCATGCGTGCATTGTAAGCTGTGATATTATTTATAAGTTGTTTTTATCATTTGTTAATGCAGATGTTGCGTGTAAACCGCGTGTACGTGAGGTGACACAAAATAACTATTTCGAGTTTCTTCGCTAAAGTAACTCACAGAATAGTGCTTGTATACAACACTCGGGTAATCTACATTATTTGATATTTAGATAAGGTTTATGAATATTACAGTGATAATTCATTTCTTGAGGCGTGGTTGTGGTGATGTTGTGATCGAGCTTATATACAGATATAACTTTATCAACAATTCTTTCTTTCCTATTTGATAACGTTTCTATAAATCATTATTGCATTACTATTTAAATTAAATACATGCTATTACACTTTATTTAATACGCATTGATTACTAATCAATATATTGAAAAGGATAGTCATACATTTATTCCAGAAAATACAATCCAATGATACGATTGCTCGTCAATAACAAGATTCTCGAAGGTACCATAAGATGCTCGATCAGTAATGGACAATACGCCTATTGTATATTTGACAGGTTTCACTCTAATGATTGATATTCAGCCAGCCCTGAATATGTATGCAAAGAACCCTATTGATTGTATAATAGGGGTATTCAATCATGAAAATAAAGTAAAATAAAAAATTAAGTAAAAAAGAAAGGTCCAATAAGATTTAATTTTAAAAGGATGCAAAAACGTCCTGCTAAAAATTCTATAAAAATAAAAATTCATGGACTTTCTATTGGCTTATTTTAATTTTATTTTTTACTTTTATTTTATTGTTATGATTGAATACCCCTAATAAAGACATTAATTTATTTTTGCAGTTTGATAATTTTACGTCGTCAAATTTCTTATTTTTGTTCTTAATTCGTTGCTTTATCTCTCGAATTTCTCAGGTGACCTAGCAAGGCTATAACCATATTAAAGCTATCAAAGGTTTATCTATACTGATACCATTTGTTATATAAGCTTAATAATAAATGTCATAGTAAGAACTATAAGGATATTACATCACAAGTCTAATTTAGTATGTCTGAGAAATACTTAAATTTTAGTTTAAAGCAAAGATAGTTAAAAAGACTTAACCTTTATTAGAACAAGACTAAATAGTGACAATGTAATAATCGTATAAATTTTTGGTTAATCAATGATAACTTCAAGTTAGTACTAGAGATATGACCACATCAGACAGTCTTTTATATAAATACTCGTATATTTCATTTATTAATAGGGACATCTGATAAACAGTCTCAAACTACTCCTATAGTCTTTTTATAATTTAAGTTTACCTTAAAACACAACAGTGGTTAAGTAATTTTCTCGGCCGATACAGAGTATCTATTTTAGAATAAACATTTTTGGTTAAAAAAGACAGTTACGAAGTTTAAAGCCCGATTTCTACATTAGCGATTTATAAATTTTTTGATAGACAAGTCTAATTTATCGCCATAAAACGTTTAACGGGAAGATACTTGATATATTTTTGGGAATTTTTGCAATGTAAAACACCTCCAGGACATCTTTGGATCTCCCCACTGTATATGGCAAATTTTGTTTTGCCATCTTCAAAAAACGTTTTGTGCAAAGAAAACATTCGGGTCCTATTAGTTGAAGAAGAACTATATAATAAAAATATAATAGAGCCGTATTTCTGATTTCGAAAAAATAAAAAAAATAAAAAAAAAACGCTATCTTCTGGATGCATTTGACAGGTATCGGAGCCAAACATTGTTCCTTATAACATAGATGCATTGTAGTGAATAACGCAATTGTTGATTCAATAAGAATTGTAGGAATTTGTCTACCTGTTGCTGGGAGGATAAAGGTATAAATAAGAGACTGTCGCAATGAGTCCAGTCTGATATGTGCAATATCAATGCTTTTGATTGACCTTGATTTGTCTGTTGAAGCCTCATTTTGATCTTATTGTCATCATATGTAGCACCTCGAGAGAGATGTCTCATAGCCGTTTTTTTAAACAGTTTTTAGCTCAGCAGTACAATGTCTGGAAAGGTGGGTATCAACAAAGTGATTCGACGAGGTCAATATAACTAAACATGTTCGATCCAATAATTCATGTTGGTCACTAGGTATCGTTTGGCGACAAGCTGAAAAGTCTTGCACGAATGAGGAATGTTATCATCGCTAATACGATATGGGTCCAATACTGTTTTTCTATTCGGCTATATAAGTACATTTGATCTTGAATTGAAAAAGAGTCGGGTGTGCTTGTAGCGGTAGCAAAATGGAAATTTGTTTAGTGATTCAGAAATATTTATACACAACGGAAAATAAAATGTAATCTAGTGTTATCTGGTGTAATCTGGTGTAATTTGGTGTAATTTGGTGTAATTTGGTGTTAACATTTTAATATCGTCACTCGAACATTAACACTAAATTACACCAAACTACACCCACTTACACCTTCTTTAAAAGTGTGATAAAATATAAAATGGTTGCAACACGAAATCACACAAAATCACAAGAAATCACACCAAACTATACAAAAGCAAATCAATGACATTTTAAATAATTGTAGGAAGGATGGGTTTTTCTTTGGTTAACTCTTGATACACGTAGAATTTGCACGTAGTAATTTTTTTTCACGTAGTGATTAAAATACCGACAGGAAAAATTGAAAATGCTCACGTCACTCTTTTGAGTTTGTGCCTGACTCCTTTCTGAAGCAAAGAAGCTTAGACTCTTTTACACGTGTTGCTGTTTGGTAGTAGTTTAAGATTTTAGATTTAATAAAAAAAGATTGAATAATCAGTCTTGCAAATGTCAGGGTGAGCATTCATGAGTCGTTTATGATCGTGATTCAAAACAGGCTTTTCGAATTTCTTCATTCTGCCTTTTGTAGTACGAGCGAACTCAACATAATAGAAATGCGAGGACGAAAGAAGGAGAGAAATGGGGTTTTCTCGAGCACTTAATTCCATGTGCACGAGTGGAATAAATACATGAGACTCGTAGATCGTACGCACTTCACCTGTTTTCAATATATTTTCTGTATAACCATACAAAAAAACTGGCCTCTCATACGTATCGGCCACAATCTGTGGACAGACAAAAGTGCTGAACCACAACATGTTATCCTCAGGTAACAAGCAGGGCGATTCGACTGTAAGAAGCTTGGTAAGCATCTTCTGCTCTTCATAATTTACCACGGCTTCTGTTCCTACAGCTCTGTACAAAGAATCTTTATACTTGAGATATGTATTCAACATATCCTCTTTGACATTTATCCAGTTACTTTGCGTTTTATACACATTATAACTGACTGCTCGGAATCCGCAATTACCATCTGCCCCGGCACTGTGGATGGCAGCCACTGAATTTATGGGGTTGACTCGAATCCACTTGAAGACGGTATCGCTTTTCAAATTGCGATAAGATAATACCCTTAAAAAAATGTTTAGGACATGTTATTGAATGTCTTTTCTTTCGTCTGATACTCACCTATCATAACCAGCTGAGTTTTCCTTTCTCAAATTGATGCTCTTATCTGCCTTCATAAGTGTATGTTTAATGCTGGTGGCGTGCGCTTTTTCTTCTTTGTTTTTAAAGACCAAAGTGAGTTTTCTTTTCTTTTGCTCCAAAGCTACATGTCGTTCTTCTATCTCAAAGATTCTTCTTTTCTTTTCCATATTTTCTTCTTCTTTTTGTTTCTTTTCTTCTTTTTTAATGTCCTTTTTTTGACTTTCTTCAAACAATTCTTTTGCTATTTGCAGTCGTTTGGTTCCACTTTTTACTCCTTTTGCAGAGGGTCTGCCTTTTCTATTGGAATTAGTTGTAGGAGGTTTCAACTGATCTATTTTGATAGCAGGATTTAAAATTTTATCATTAGCTTCTTCTAAAACAGTCAATGCATCTGCTATTTGCTGCTGTGTAGAGAAGTCTGCAATTGAAGAATACATTTTGTGAAGGACCTGCTCAACTTTCAACATTAGTTGTTTTCTACCACTTCAATAACACAAATCATCGTCTGAATATGACATTTTGTTATTGTAATTATAGAATTGTTAGCGCACTTTCTTATAGAGTTCATTGCCCAGCAAGACGTTAGGATCGCCTTACCGGTTCTTCTTTCTACGGGTTCTAATTTATAAATGTTATTATTTACTATATTTTGTTTAATACATATTTCATACAGTCTTAATGCTATGACATATCATCACTCATGTGTGAGACAATGAACTTACCTTCACTATTTTGCTTTTGTTCGAATTTTTTATCATCCGCAAGTGGTATGAAATTGTAATCATTATCTTTTTCCTTATCACTGACTGATAAGACTGAAACAACATCACTTTTATCATCATGTTCGACAGACGTTTCTTCTTTTTTGGGATCTCTATAAAAAGTAGCTTTACGAAACATACAGTAACAATTAGTATAAACTATGCTTAATACAAGATTTATTTAAATACTCATAGATTCAAGACAAATTACTGGAACTATATAGTATATACTATCCATCCTTCTCTATACACATACACACACCCATATTGACAAACCCTTTGTAATTTAACTTACTCTCTTTTTCTTCTTTCTCCTAAACCGTCTTATCTAAGCTATACTTATCTTCTAATCCATCAAAATCTAGTAATGATAATTAAGTATGTGTGGAATCTTATAAAACTATTCACTTACTTTCGTCAAATTCAAGTCTCCAGCGCTTATCGACTACTTCGAGAGGGAGAACATTCGAATTTGCAGCAATTACACAGGGACAAGGTAGCTTGTAATTGATACGATCAGCACAGTTACAGTTCTCTCCTCTTGTCACAAATCCAGTTCGAAGAGAATAGATCGTGTTTTCTCTTATTTTGTCCATTGCAAAACGAACGACTTTGAACTTCAAATTTTCGTAACGGTATTCCATGTCTTTGTCAAAGACGTTAGCATCAATGCTAATTCTTTCAAAATCCATCTTTCGATAACGTTCATCTCTCTAAAAAGTGGGAAAACGTGAACATATGCATCATATGGGGGGTTTCTTTTTTTCTTTTAACAATCAAAAACTGCTTACTTTCCTCTGATAGTATGCATGCATACGTCCCGTGGTCATAGCTAATTTTGCCGCAGATTGGTTTCCCAGAGCCTTTTTTAATCCGGAGTGAAAGCTCTCTGCTTTTGCTGACGTACGATTTCCCATATGAGAAAACTGGTTGGCATAAAAACCAACCCAGTGCTTCTTTTCGTCTTCTTCAAGCAAGCTGTATAAATGCTCAGTTAAGATATAATGTCCCAACCACGATTATAAATCACGAACTTACAGTTCTTTCAAATAGATCAAAGCAGATCTACCATTGTCTTTGAAGCAGTCAGTTTCGCTAACTATCTGCTCAAATTTGGAAACAGCATCGAGGTATTGTTGTTCCCTATTGCTTCCGACAATAGCTTTAAACTGTTCTTCAGCAAGGCAACGACGGTATCTATATTCTACAGCATTTACTTTTCCAATTGGAAGTTTAGTTTCCATAGTATTCCATAAGTGCCAAGAACACAAAAGATGGTGGCTTTCTGGAAAAACATTATCAATAGCGTTTCTTAATGCTCTTTCGTTATCTGTAACAAATACATTTGGAATCTCGTAATCTTTTTTCCTCGGGCCAGATAGCATTTCTCAATTTCTCAAGAACCCACGTATATGCGGCTTCCGTCTCGGCATTTACAAAAGCTGCAGCCACAGCAAAGGTTTGTAATCTATTTGTACCTCTTACTGAGGATACATTACTAGTTCCAACAATGTTGATCAACGAAAACTTATGTGCGTTTGTTTTGTATGTTGCGTCAATAGTGATTGCTTCAGGCCATCTTCTTGTCTCGTATATAGAATCTTCATGAATAAAAAAACGCTTTTGACTTCTTGATCTGGCTTGACTTGGATTCGAACAACATATCCAATATCTTCCAAATGGGTGATTAAAGAATACATTTCTTTCCCGTCTTCATTTTTCAAGAACAAGGTTTGGATGTTTTGAATATCCTTTTTGATCATGTTGTTGATACCCAAGGCAGTCAATGTCTAAAAAAAACAGTCAGTGAAAATGATCTAATTGTTTGTAAATGATTTGATGCTTACATCCATAACGCTAGTTACAGGATCCTTATGGCCACTAGCCAAAATGCTATAGATACGTTCCATAATCTTTGGACTCTGTTTGCGATTGATAGCGTAAGTTGTGAAATCCTGAGAAAAGGGATGGTTGTGTTCCATTTGGGATCTAGTGATTGTGAAGTGGTATAACTTAATAAAAGCGGGAAACTTGAGTTTTTGGGTGCTTTTTTTATATTTTTTTTTTGAATCCTCGTCTTTCTCTTCGCTTTTGTTGCCGGAATCTTCGACTGTAGTAGGGCATTTCAACAAAATACGCTTATCACCACCGTGTTTGCATATATACTGGAAGTCTCCATTGGCAGGATGAGAGTTGGCAATAGAAAATATGACATTAAATTTGTTTCCAAAATCTCGAATAGCCTTTTTTAAATCGTCTCTCGTTTCAAAATGTTGTCCGACGCAAAATTGAACACTGAATTCAGAATGCATTTCGTCGCAAGTGCTTCTTAATTGAGAGAACATTCTTTGAGTTTATTACAAATGTCAAGGTTAATGTTAATACAATTATAGTTCTAATAAAAAAAGGAAGGAAGCTGTCAAAAACTTCCAGTCATTTATAAATTTACAAAACGGTGCCTGAAAGTACATTTAAGAGAGTGACGTGAACATTTTCAATTTTTCCTGTAGGTATTTTAATCACTACGTGAAAAAAAAATTACTACGTGCAAATTCTACGTGTATCAAGAATTAACCTTTTCTTTTTGTATGTTTAAAATTATTTATAAGCCATACAGTAGTAGAAAACTGTGAAACTGTATTCTACTGTAGCCCTTTACACATTACATGCATTATGTCATCATTCATAATCGAAGGAATATAGAAGGTCAAACCAACAATATCATCGATGGCTGCTATATATACAGAGGAAAGTACGTTTGATCTGTTCATGTAATAATTTGAGCCATTATGCAAAACCATGGCTTCTAAGGTTACCATTGCATACAAGATGCTGCCATCTAAACTAAATACAGTACTTATAATTACTGTAGCGTGCTCAACACGACCATCTTCATTCTTGAAGTCTACCACCACGGATCTTTTGGTTTTTCTTTTATGACTGAGCGATTGCTTGGTACGAGGAATACAGCAAGTTGGATAATAATTTATATTATCCTGATTTGAAAGATATGGATATTTATACATCATCGCTTCCACTTCTTCTTGTGATGAAGTTGTAAAAGCTCAGTTATGGTTATAATTTCTTTTTTGTTCACTTGCAATTCCTCAACACCCCAAGCTCGAAAAGCAAGAGAATGATAATTTTTCATCACTGTTAGAGCATTCTCGGCAGGCTTTGATCTTGATCTAATTAACCTCTTCACATTACCGATCGTTCTTTCTAAGACTCGTGCGCTTGAGCAGCGAAGCGGTCCAAGCTGACGTATCATTTCAGTAACGTGAGTCAAGTAATGTTGATTGATCGTAAAAGCCATGTCTTTACACACCTCCGGCAGAAACTAGTGCCATACCACAATTAATCTGTAAATACGCATAAATACATAAGGCAATTTGAAAGTTAGTTATGTGCTAAACAACATTCTACTACATTTACCTATCAATCTCGATAAGATCCATGGTGGAAATTTCGTACTGTTCCGTCATACGACAGACTTTGGACAAGCATTGCAAGGCATAGCAAGTCTTGCCTATAATTTCTGGCACTTCTACCAGATTCGTCCCAACAGGAACAGGCACATCTTCTCTTTTCATCTTTTTTTGCGTCGTGCTTTTTCGGCTGCAACAATCTCCATTGCTTGCATTTGTAGCTCTTCGACGACCAGCGTGGGTACGATATACTGCATGAAGTCAATCATATCCACACATCTTGCATTTCCTGCACTGTTAGCCATGTCTGTTTTATGGATATTAGATACGATGTATAAATTGGAAATAAAAAAGCACAAACAAAATACAAGCCATTAAAAACTTAGCAATGAGCTGGCCGTCTAAAGCACTACTATCGATACAACGTTGAATGGTGACCATTCTGGATCCAACGTTGTCACGATACTTGTTTCGGAGAAACAGTGGGTTTTCATGCCCAAACAACTGCTTATCGTCAACCATCATCTTCCACAGTTGCTTGGCGATGTTTGACCCCCAAAGATGGAGTTCATCCAGACCGAGGAAGGAGTATCTCTGGAAGCTATTCAGCAAAGAAAATGGTGTTGGCTTTTTGATTCTAGCACTCTTTTGAATATGTATTTCAGTATCATTAGTAAATTTGAATATAATTATTTAGCTACACTTTTTTTCCTGGTTACATATAGCAGTACCTTATCACCATGACAAAACGCATTGGAATCTCTATAGTCATTTTTTAAAAAAACCCCAACCTTGTCCATTTTTGGGGGAAAAACTATTGCCCGTTTTTTACTTGATTGCATACCTCGAATGGTACACATACGGCAACCAGTATAGGACGTATGTCCTGAATGACAACAAAGATCCGCTACTCCAGGTATATCCCCTACAACATGAACAAGCTTGGCCTTATACGTACAGGTGCCATCAGAAGCCATGGAAATCTCAGCCTCCTCGAGTGTTATCAGCTCCTTTAAAGTGGGGTAAAGGAAGCTGAAGATATCCCATGGCTTTTTTTCCGTGGTGATTATTCCCAAGATAAGAACATTTTCGGCCTTGAATCTTTTTGAAGTAAATATATGTTCAAAAAATCAGTATTCCATTTCAAATTCAAATGTTATCAGTACAATACCTCAATTCTGCAGACAAGTCCAGAATTGTCACCATCAACAGCGTCATACTTTGACCTGTAGCACCTCTTTTAAAAGGTGAAAATGCATCGGCATGTAAAGCCAATGAGAGCATTTTATCAGCTTCTAAATCTTGGTTCTTCCAGGCACTACCATCAAAAACATCTTTGTAAGATCTGGACGAAGATTGTCTCTCTTCTCTATATGTGTTGATGTTGTTGACATTTCTTTGTTGAGTCAGAAAATTTCCGAGTTGCTTTGCGAGAGATAACTGCGTATGAGTTTCTACAGGTACACCTGTGGCATTATCGGTGTATCTAGCAGCTTTACAAAAAACATTTGGACACTAAGTCTGTCCTCTCTCTTGTTCATCATCCACAAACATGTAACAGCCGTTACGACACATGTCGTACGTATCTGAATCTACTCTGGATATGTTCTTGCTGGAGATTGCATCGCATTTGTAGGGTGACAGCAAATGGAGGTGTTGTTCTAGTAAAAAACGTCATAAATAAACAATTATTTAGATATAACATTTATCAATTTACCGACCTCAAGATCTGACATATACTCATTAAATGCTGCAATTAATTCTTCTGAGGCAGTTTTTGATACTGCCCGCTTTGTCATGTTGTCTCTTATTTTTAAACTGGCTTTTTTAGTCAAATCAAGAGGTCTCGTGCAGCCTTGAGTGTCAATATAAATCGGTGTTTCAACGGTTTTCTTAAAAATTTCTAATTTTTTCTTCACATCTTTTTTTTCCTGGGTCAAACATTCTTCTTCAGGATCCATGTTCTGATCTTGAAATTCTTCATCTGCAAGCAGTCCTTGTGATACCTCAACGAACGCGACATTTTCTTGTTCGTAATCGTAATCCATAGGTTCGTCTTCGTACGTTTCGGTTTCTGTAGACACATTCTCGAACATGGTGCCAGTGTTCTGCAAGTTTTGTAAGATTTGTTGGCCCATTGCGGTATTTCCATTTATTGAAGGACTAATGCTAATATTTTTTGATACTCGACTATAGATTTTTAATGATTGTTGAACCTTATGATTATTAAGGTGGTTTGAAAAATATTTCAACTTAACTTTTTTTTGACAAGTAGGGCAGTAATGTTTAACCATTTTTTTAAAGTGTCAGAAAGTGTGAAAAGAAAATTGGACGACGAGTCTGTTTTTCTTTTATTGTTTTTGACAGAAATAGATAATGACACTAATAATTACCAGCTTGATTATTTACCATGGATAAAAAGTTTTCACTACTTTCTTCTTTTTATTTTTTTTTATTCTAGATATGCCTCCTAAAAGAAAACAACCCATCGAACCTACATCCGATTTGCTCTCGTCTATAGAAGCAATAGTAGAAAGAGCCTTGTTAGCTCAAAAGAAATAGATGGATGATATGATTACGGCAAAGGTGGATGAAGGCTGTTCAACGTTGGAAAGGAACATCATTTGCCTTGAAAATAAAATCGACACTTTACAGGAAGCCTTACAAAGTTTGACTGAAAGAGGTGTCCAACTTGGTGAGTCTACTGTTTCTTCTGGTACTGTTCCTTCTATTACTGTACCGAAGGCAGTTTCATACAAGGACAAGAAACTGGAGATAGCAATCTTGCTATTGAAACAAGTAGAAGGATTGTCTGAACCTGACAAGGAAGCTATTATAGAGAATTTGAATCGTTCTGCCCTTTCTATTTGTCGTGCTTTCGCTTCTCAAAATCACATGGGTAAGTACACAGTGTGATGTTTGAGATATTAAAATAGATAAAACAGAATAAAAAGAAGTAATAAGAAATGAGTCTCTATTAATCCTTTATTAAAGTTATGGAGAGAAAGTCATCGCAAAAGGGAGGACGCTTTTTATATCAAACATCTGGGAGATTGAATCTGGTAAGGAATAGGCAGTGGCTTGTTTCTATCTTCTGAAACATGGCAATTAGAATTACATGGTCTTAAGTCAATCAATACTTTCTTATATTGATTGGCCCAAATTATTAAGTGAAAAATTCTCATTAGCTGACACTTCAGTAACAGATTAATGAGAATCAAAAACAACCAATAATAATATAATTTCCCAATATATAATCTGTAACAAGATTATACTGGTAATATGAGAGTACCACTCGAATATTATAATTTAACCACATTGAAGGTCATTCTATACGATATTTATTGGAGGAAATACGACACACAGGATGGGGATCCTTGAATGGCACTGAGCAATGGACAATGCTCAAATCGATGCAAGAGGAAGTAGTGGAAATCGATCCAAGGTTTGGTTTCCTTAAGTATTGTGCTTGTCTTTGGCCATGCGAATTTATTTTGCAGCCCAAATGGACACAAATGTCCAAGAATTTCCGAACAGAAAGGTAAAGAGCAACATGAAAGAAATAAAAGTCTTCCGGTACTAACCTAGATATTTAATTACGTAGGCAAAACGCAGAAGCAAAGAAGATCATAGGAGAATATCATTATCAAATGACACCTTACATAAAAATCATATTTTTAGTTATCCAATTTTTGTAATAAATATAATAAGGTTTTAAAAGCATCATTAACTTACACCATGAAGGTGGGATTAGGGGCATATACGTGTTAACATAATTCAAGTGTAATAAGATTGATTTAGGTGTTAACACCAGCTAGGTGTAATGAAATGTGATTAGGTGTTAACACTATTTGGTGTAATTTGGTGTAACAAGGTGTCAACATCAGACTGCCAATGGGAGCGGATTTTTGCACCGAAATGGTGTTAACACCAAATTACACCAAAATTTCCCGATGTGATAGGCCATTGTTGGCGCACCGCCAACTGAGTTAAAATGAAAAAAGATGACATCGATTTTTTATTTTTGGCTGGCGCACACACTAGAATTTGTCGCATAACCCAACTATGAAAAACAGGAAATCAATTTATGAACTAAAGCAGCCGATTTCGTTGATGATGAAGAACTAAGCCTTCCTTTTTATCTTAGTTCGTTTTGAATCATTTACTAAAATGACGGGTAAACGTGGTCAGACTCCTACTGTCAGCAAACGTCAGTTATGCTCCAAAAATAATAAAGTGAACAGGAAAACAGCTGAAAGAGACCACCAATCATCAGAGGAACCGGATACAGGTCAAAATCGCAACAGAAAAACGACTATCATTTGAAAATCATACGAGATGCGACCACCGGTGTCAACAGCTGATAGACAACGGTGCGTCTGTAACGTTAGTACGCTTACCTTAAAGGCGTTTGCCCTGGAGCATGATTACTATGAACGCAGGCATTGCCACGGTGGATGTAAGACCATCATTACTAATATGTCCAAAGCAGAGCTATCTCGCCTCCTTCCGGAATTTGAAAAATGCGTATTCTAATTACTAAAATCCTTCCACATGTATTTTAATTGTAGGTTGGTGAAACTACCGTTTGACGTCATCACAGACAAGAACCAATTTGGAGAATTAGACGTACAAACCTGGGATTATGATCCATTGCTGTCATCCATTGTGGTCGATACTACGAGGAAGATTCTGTTACGATGGTCAAACAAGGAGAACACATCAACCACTGGCATTTGTCTAGAGCCCACTGTATTTACCTTGGTCCAACGTGCATTTGGGCAATCCCTTACTTTAACAGAAGTCAAGCTTAGCGTTAACAACACCACCAATCATTCCCTTTGCATGGACAAGTTAAAGCTCGCCGTCGTATCGTGCAACAGCGTCTTGAAGTATGACCATCTTATTCTCACTTTTCAAGTTAATAGTAAGAGGAAACATGTTGCTACAGTTTTTATGGATCATAACCATTTCACAATGCTTTGTAGGATTTCAATTAGTTCTTTATACGACACAAATGATACAAAGCAGTTTATTTACAATAATAAAAATTGGCCGCATCACCCTGCCTTTAGCATTATCCGGCCTTCACTCATTCATCGCTCTGAAAAATATCCGTACGCTATTAAGCGTCACACATTTATTTTGGCATTGCTGTTACCAAGCAGATTCATCACCGTCTGTCGTTGCACCTGTCAGCAAGCCATCTCACACATCCCCTTTCAAACTCCGCTCCTGATTCTGGCGGTCATTTTTATGCTTGTATGATGTTTTAATCTCTTTCCTAGCCCGACTTATCTTGTTTTCTGCGTGAAAGAGAATTCAAAATATGCCATCCAAGATGAGATCCACAAATTAAAGCCTTAGGCTGTGCTGTATTATGTTTTAAAACATGCGCCTAATATGATTGCAGGTTCCCCTCACTGAAAATTGAGTGGATACTATACGCATTATTCACTATTTATTCTTTATTGCCCCTTTTCTTTGCCTAAGACCATGATTTGAATTGAATTTTTTGCATAATAAAATGTCGTCACCGAACATTCTTTCAAGCCAAAAACTTACTCAGAATTATTAAAAATATCATATGAAATTATTATATTTTGATTTTAACATTTTTTTTTGAAGACCTAAAATTGACCAAAACACAAAGGGTATACCTTGAGGAAAATCTCACATTTTACAAATGCAGCTGTTAAATACCCTTCCTGCAGGTTTAATAAAACGTGTTTCTATTGAACTATAGCCCAACTTTAATGCTTTTTACATTGGTGTTGTTTGTAGACCAGCTTTTGTAATTAAAAATATTATATTTAACGCATAACTGAAAAAACAGTTTCTGTAAGACAAAGTATTTTTTTTAAACAGAACATTACGTTGAGAAACATTTCAAAAGATGCGCCTACTTTTTCCGCGCATTTTGGTTATACCATTGCTATAGTAAAAGTTCAATATCCAGGCACTTTACATTGACAGGAAAGTTATAACATGTCATTTCTGACCAGATCCATTGATACTAACAATAGCTGGGGCCACACTGAAATTAGCTGGGCCACACTGAAATTAGCTGGGCTCACACCGTAATTAGCTGGGCTCACACCGTATTTAGCTGGGCTCACACTGTAATAAGCTGGACCCACACTGCAAATAGCTCGGCTCACACTGTACTAAAATCGCACTATTTAACATATAAAATCGCATATAAAATCATTCCATCGATCCTTGAACGACAGGTACATAATATCATAACACTCATAAAAAATAATAGCATAAAAAATATCCTGAGTTATACATTTAAAACTCAGGGTTACTAGATATTCCAATAGAAGATCCCATTTCGAATAATAGATTGGCTACACTGATAAGGCTCATCAGTCATTAGTAAATACAGCCAATAATACCAAGTGAACACAAACGAGCCCATAATTTTACCCACGCTTTAAATAACTATAAATACCCCCCTTTCTTTCAGAGATGAAAGAGGGATTCACTTTTAATAAGAATAAAAAAGCCTACAAGCAATATTAATCTTATTCTGCCTGTTTTTTTATCTTTTATTTTTCCGTGTCAAACAAACCGTTTTTCCACACACACTGTAAACGGCTGGGCCCACACTGTAATTAGCGGGGGCCCATTTGTTGCTATCTAAATGTTAAAACCTTTAAAAACCTTCAATTGTGTGTAACTCTGGGCTCTAATTTGATCCCCGCGATCGACAAAAACCTTTAAAAACCATTAATTCTGTGTAACTCTTGTTTAATTGGCTGAAAGTTGAACTTTGCTGGTACACGCTTAATTAGTGTCAATTTGTTGCTATGTTGTGGTATTTGACAAAAATATTACAATGAAAAAGTAATGAGAAAAAAGTATATCTTTATTGGAGGTAAAAATAGACTAAAAGAACTCTGCTGCGATGAAATAATTGATCCTTTTTATATTGAACAACTTCCCCTGGTAGTTGTGTTGAGTCAACCTTTCTGGTCTTGTAATAAATCTATACTTACTTTCCCGCCTTACATTAAATGAATTCTACTCGTTAGAATTGATTTCAAATAACGTCGCCCTGAATCAACCGATCTGGGACACTCTTATTGTTCTGTTTAAAATACTAAATACCGGTAAGATATTGTGTAACGGTGGCTTGTTAAAAGATGCATAAGGTTTTTATGTTTAATTGGCTGTGGTAGAACATGTAGTTATGTTTGATCATTTATCCACTCTGTTGATTATTTTATCTAAGACATGGGTAAATATGTAATCCTAAATATAGAACATCTTATCGATGTTTGTATATTTTGTAGCAAACGTAGGCTTAATGGGGATAGTCTGGCAGAAAAAAAGGTAAAAAAAAAAAAAATAGGATCAATTGGAATTCTTGTCAGAGTGTTTTGATGTTAAAGTAACTAAAGATAAGAGGAAAAATAAGAGTGTTTTTAATAAATGAAATGGACGAGGCTTGTGATAAATAAGGGTCAAGAAATAAAATGAAACTTTTGATAACTTTATTGTTTTTTTATAATAACAAAAAGACAAGAAGGATCCGTCTAGTGGAATAATTAATTTCTGCTTTTATACGAGGTTATTAGTAGTCACAATAATGTCAATTATTGTGGATTATGATCGTGTAACCTAATTCGACTACGGTATAATATGGCTAAATACCACAAGGCTGAGGATGCTACTCTTAACAATATGAGTATGCTATCCATAACAATATCTATATTGGACAATTAGTGCTACGTATAGTAAATAGAGAAATAATAACAATAACTTGTCTTAAGTTTGGACATTAGTATTACGATACCGTGACACTTTAAATAGTGACCATCTTTAGCGAATTCCTTTTTTATGCATGATCATGATCTAGCTGTTATATATTAGTGATGACGAGACATGAATTTGTTATATTTCTAATCTATATGTGTGATTTAGCACATTAACAAGTAGCGTCTTTTATTTCGTATCAACCAAGCCAGCAAGTATACAATATGTAGATGAATATAATACTTCTGATGAACAAATGACAGAGAAGAAATGCAAGGCATAAATTTAAGTCAAGCTAAGTCGGTTTTTTCTTAATTGGTCACTTTGTCCAAATACTTTTAGTAAAAATATATTTGATAGCATGGGTTTTAATTATACTGTATGCTATAGTCACGAGACTTTGAAGTGGTGTTATTAATCATCTGCAATAATTGTGTGGTATCTGGAGTTGCGGAGGGAGGAAAACGTTGAGGCTTCGATTGGATATGTAACCTTTGGGGATAGCGTACTGACAGGTGCAACGGCAACTGTTGGTGAATCTGCTTGGTAACAGCAATGCCAAAATATAAGGGTGACGCGCAATAGCGTACGGATATTTTTTAGTGTGACGGACGAGTGAAGGCAGGACAATGATTCAGGCAGGGTGATGCGGCCAATTTCAATCCTGGTAAAGAAATTAGTATGTATCATTTGCGTCATGTAAAAAACTAATTGAAATCCTACAAAACATTTTGAAATAGTTATGACCCATAAACACTGTAGCAACATTTTCCTTCTTACCATAAGCTTGAGAAGTGAGGATGGGATGGTGCCACTTCAATACGCTGTTGCGTGATAATACGGTGAGCTTGACCGTGTTCATGCATAGGAAATGGTTGCTCGTCTGTCAGCTCCAAGCTTCACTTCCCCGAAACCAAGGGATTGCCCAAAGGCACGTTAGACCAAGGTAGATACAATGGCGTCTGGACGAATGCCAGTGGTTGATGTATCCTTCTTATTCGGCCATCGTAATACGACCTTCTTCGTAGTATCTGCCAAAATGGACGACAGCCATGGATCATAATACCTGGTTTGTACGTCTACTTCTCCAAATTGGTTCTTGTCTGCGACGGGTTCAAGCGGTAGTTTCACCAACCTACAATGAAAATAGATGAGGAAGGATATTAGTACTTAGACGCACTTTTTTTCACCACACTACAATATTTACAAATCAGCAATGCCTTCGACAACATTAGACTTGAATTGATCCATGCTAGTGGCTAGAGTCAAGAGGCGGAGATTGGCACTTTTTGGAGACATACCCTCCTTGTCAATATTGGATACCACATTCACCATTTCCATGAAGTCATCATTGGTAAATTCGGGGTATTGTGTGGCACTTTGCTGAGTAGCGATTGAGTCTGACACTCTAGCAAATTCTTGAGCACTTGTTCCCCAAAAACAGTCACTTTGCGTTCGCTATGCTGTTCATTCGCCAGGAAGAGTACACCCGACAAGGCTAATATCTCCTGGATGTTCGATTCCAAAGGGACAGGCTTAGGAATGATGTCTGCTTGATGCCGGTATTTTTGGAAAAGAGAAGTAATATCGTTCCCATCAACAATCCAATGCTTCTCTTCGTTGTCACTCCCTTTTCGAATTTTAGCATGCTCTTGATCCAAATCAGTTGTAGTTGTTGCTGCTATAGGTTGTGATGCAGTTGTTTCCTGTGTTGGACGTGGAGTTGGTGATTCTACTGTTGGAGATTGATTCTGAGGCTCCAAAAGGCTCTGGGAATCAGATAATAACATATCATTGATCACTTGGGAGCAGTTGGACGCAGTAGTTTCCAAAGCATGAATTCGCTGGCGTTCCTTCCAAAACACTGTGCAATCAAGCGTGAGACACCAATTTTCAAATTCCTCAAGGAGGCGAGAATGATCTTCTTCGGACATGTTCGTAAGGATTGTCTTATAGCGAGCGTGGCAGCGCCTGCGATTGTAGTGGCCATACTCCAGGGCAAACACCTTTAAAGTAAGATCACTGACGTTCAGAATGCACCATTGTACATCAGCTGCTAACACCCGTGGTCTCTTCTCGCTTGATTTCGGATTGACGGGCGTTTTTCTTTTGCGATTCTGAGACGTATCCGGTTCCTCTGGTGATTGGTGGTATCTTTCAGCTGTTTTCGTTTTCACCTTATTATTTTTGGTGCGTAACTGACGTTTGCTGACAGTAGGAGTCTGACCACGTTTACCCGTCAATTTAGTAAATGATTCAAAACGAACCAAATAAAAATGAAAAATTAGTTGTTCATCATCAACGAAATGAACTACTTTTGTTCATAAATTGATTTCCTGTTTTTCATAGTAGGGTGATGCGCCATATTCTAGTGGTTGCGCCAGCCAAAAAAAAATCGACGTCAATCTTTTTCATTTTAACTCAGTTGGTGGTGCGCCAAGAATTGCCTATAAATATTTCTGAATCACTAAACAAATTTCCATTTTGCTACCACTACAAGCACACCCGACTCTTTTTGAATTCAAGATCAAATGTACTTATATAGCAGAATAGAAAAATAGTATTGGATCCATATTGTATTAGCGATGTTAACATTTGTCAGTGGTTCAAGACTTTTGAGCTTGTCGCTAAACGATACGTAATGACCAACATGAATTATTGGATTTACCATGTTTAGTTATACTTACCTCGTCGAATCCCTTTGTTGATACCCACCTTTCCAGACATTGTACGGCTGAGCTAGAAACTGTTTACAAAAGCGATTATGAGACAACTCTCTCGGGGTGCTACATGTGATGACAATAAGGTCAAAATATGGCTTCGACAGATAAATCCAGGTCAACCAACAGCATTGATATTGCAAATATCAGATTGGACTCATTGTCACAGTCTCTTATTTATACCTTTATCCACCGTCCAACAGTTGGACAAATTCCTACAATCCTTATTTAATCAACAATTGCGGTATTCACTACAGTGCATCTATGTTATAATGATTAATTTCTGGCTCCGAATTCCAACAAAAAAAAAACGCTATCTTCCCGATGAATTTCACATGTATCACAAATACGGATATATTATGTTTTTTATTACAGAGTTCTTCTTAAACTAATAGAGGCCAATTGTTTTTTTTTCACACAAAGTTTTATGAAGATGGCAAAACAAAATTTGCCATTTACAGTGGGGAGATCCAAAGATTTCCTGGAGGTGTTTTACATTGAAAAATTCCTAATATTATATCAGGTATCTCCCGGTTAAACGTTTTATCGCGATAAATTAGACTTCTCTTCAAAAATCTAAAAATTGCTAACGTAGAAATCGGGCTTTAAACTTCCCAACTGTCCTTTTTAACGAAAAACGTTTATTCTAAAATAAATGCTCTGTATCGACCGAGAAATCTACTTAACCACTGTTGTGTTTTAAGGTAAAGTTAAATTATAAAAAGACTATAGGAGTAGTTTGAGACTGTTTACCAGATGTCTTTATTAATAAAGGAAATATACGATTATTTATATAAAAGACAGTCTGCTGTGGTCATATCTCTAGTGCTATCTTGAAGTTATCATTGATTAACCAAACATTTATACGATCATTACATACCCACTAATTTAGTCTTGTTCTAATAAAGGTTAAGTCTTCTTAACTATCTTTGCTTTAAACTAAATTTTAAGTATTTTTCAGATGTACTAAATTAGACTTGTGATGTAATATCCTTATAGTTCTTACTTTGACATTTATTGTCAAGGTTATATCACAAATGGTATCAAAATGGATAAACCTTTGATAGCTCTAATATGGTTATAGCCTTGCTAGATCACCACAAGCACGCCTCAAGAAATGAATTATCACTGTAATATTCCGAAATCTCTTCTAAATATCAAATAATGTAGATTACGCAAGGACCCTATGGTTTTGTTAGACTACATCTTGTAGGCTCTCTATAACTTTGATAAAATGTTTTATGGCTTAAATCCGACCCTATCACAATACGTGTGACACATTGCTCCCCAATCTGTCTCAGATAGTTGTTGTGGTAAACTAGAACAACTGTTAGGACAACATATTAAGCCGACACCTCATACGGCATATAAGTCGTATACGTTTAGAAATACCAACCGATCCAGCCAACTTTTAAGGTTTATACATCGACCGTTAAGCCTACCGTTCAAAAATTAAAAGACGACCAGTCAACCCGCCGGTCGAAAATTAAAAAACCGACTGGTTAACCGGGCAATTGAAAATTAATAAACGACCATACAATGTACATTGTATCTATTTTAAAATTAACAATTTTTTGTTCTGATGGTTTTAAAAAAAAGAAAAACTTATCCCCTAAATTTCTATCACGAAGAGATTATTCCGAGTGTATCGCATCTCCAACTTCTGTTCAACCCACATATTTATAGAATACAACCCAAAATAACATTACTACTAATACATTCGCCGTATCCTTAAGCAAACCGGTCATATCTATCAAAGACATTCCTATACAAGATTAGACCTTAATATATTTTCGATGCCCCGACCAATGGCCCAAACAACTTCGATCAGAATTAAGTCAAAACCAAAAAACATTTATTGTCAAGAATCCACATGTATACAAAATAATGAAAAATACAAATAATACGGATACAACCGAATTAAAAATGTTTCCATTTCATCAACGAGCTGATTTATTGATATCGTTCATACTGCAATTGGTCATTCGATTCAAATCTCTGTCTACAATCAACTAAAATCTCGAGTTTGGTGGCCAAATATGTAACTTGATAGCACTAACTGGTTAAATAATGCCCAGCCTGTCAACGTACAAGTTGTGCTGAAAAGAATATCTATCATGCGCCGCGGAAACCATTGAATGTACCACCTGCTTTTTCGTCTTGGCATCATGATATTGTTGGAGAATTACCAACCACCAAAAATGGCAATCGATGGATCTTAGTTGTTGTAGATTACTCAACCAATTGGACGATCATGTGTGCATTAAAAAATGCCCGTGGTGATTAAATTGTTAAATTCATATACGAAGAAATTGTGTTGAAATTTGCAAACCTAGTAAAAATATTTACAGACAAAAATCGAACGTCTCCATCAAAATTACTATGTAAAACAATACATGAATAAGTTTAGATCGAAACACACATTTACAAGCGCATATCATTCACAAAGTAATTCAAAATGCGAAAGATTAAATCAAATTATCAAGATCATGTTAAAATATTTGTTATTGGCGATGTACACAGTTGGGACGAGTAAATTAACAAGGTGACATTTGCATGCGGCATAAGAAAACACTCTACTATGTACGCATTGCAGAGAATGGTACGACCAACTTACCAATCAGCTGAAGGAACTGCAGGATAATCGTTAACTTTATGAGTATAGTTAAATTAAGGCAAACAAGCTTTAAACGAGTAATATAACTCTTCTTTGACCAATAAGGAAGATATCCGTAAAAAAATGGATGATATGCTTCCACAAAAAAGTGTTACAATCAACCACTGTAGAAGATGTTTTAGCGAAATTCGCACTTTAAATAATTTGCTATAAATTAATAAATTTGTTAACTTAGTTTTTCTACCTTTCTTTCGCTTATAACCTTTTTTAAGGCAGCCCCGAATTCTGTTTCGTGTTGTCAGTGCTGTTATTTAAGTAATGGATACCGTTAAATCATACAAACTAGGTAAACATGACATATGAAATACGAATTGATATTATTATGTCGTTATACTTTAAAGTAACAAGAATATTTGTGCACACATTTGCCATATTCTAAAAGTAATCATCCTTTCAATTTCCGTATGTTTTTTTTAGAGAATTGTATAGATGTCGAGCCGTATTTGGACTTGAACAACAGGTTTATGCCAAGCAATCTCTCCTTCTAGGCTATATATTTTTCTTTAGACTATAACCGTTTTCTTTTAGGCCGCAATTTTTTTTCGGCTGATAAATGATTTGGTCTATGTACAAAACGCTACATCTCGTGGGACTCTCGAATGTTAGATGTATACAAAAGCCGCTGTTAGGCTAGTATGGCGTTAACTGTCCCGTTAATAGGAAGTGCAAGAAGTATTACGGAGGTAAGTTTAACTTTTCGATTTGGAGATGATATGTACATACCATATAATAAATAAAATAAAATACGAAATAAAAATTGAATTAAACAAAAAACGTGTTCATTTAAACCCTGTTTTTTATTATATAATGAATCTCTGGATTGCACAACAGTATAAAGGCTCATCGGCATCAATAATAATGTAGTTAAAAGTGATGCAATAATTTACGTACTTCTTATTGAGTGAAAGATTGCTATATTGTGATAAAAAGAAGCATCAAGTGGTATTTAAAAGCTACCAGAAGTGGTATAAGTACGCAACATGTTGCGGGTTTTTACCACATAGTCCGCCACTGTGTTATGTCAAAACTAAAAGGTCAAGAGAAACTATACAAGGCTTCATCAATAACGATGAAAACCACATAGAAGTTTTGATTGTTTGGTTTCAGACATTTGTTGAATATAACGACGCTTTGAAGTCTTTTACTTCAAAGTTCAAGCAAGTGTACGAGGATGTCATACAAAAATCATACACACGCAAGGCCAAAGTAGATATTATGACAATTTTTCAACAATCAAAATCTCCAACGAACGCAATGGTGATTGGAAGCAAAGTCTTAGATGAAGCTACAAATGCTGCCTCAGAGAGATTAATCTTGACACTGAAACAATCACCAAAAGTATAGTATTAAAAACATGATATCGATAAATGTATGGGTAAAGTAAAAAAATCTGTTGTAGATTGTGCCTGGTGCGTCTTCCTTCTCATCCTCATCTACTGCCGGCGCTTCCTCGTCTACTGCAGGTGCTTCCTCATCTACTGCTGGAGCTTCCTCATCTACTGCTGGAGCTTCCTCATCTACTGCTGGAGCTTCCTCATCTAATGCTCGTGCTTCCTTATCTACTGCTGGTGCTTCCTCATCTACTGTTGCCGGTTCATCGATCGAAGAAAAATGGAATCCATATATCAAATCGTGTAAAGACAGATCAAGAAAGCACGGATTCAATTTGCAAACCCAAGCTGACAAAGTATAAGCAAGTCAACAGATAATACTACTCCCGGAAGGACAGATGTTTTCCGAAATCGCCAAGCACGCCGATACCGAATACCTTCTAAGGTTGTTCTCAAGCAAAAAAAATATTTCCGATTTCATCTGATCTGAAGTGCGGAGTTACCTTCCATGGAATTTTGTGTAATAAAAACTTCAGTAAACTTCAGATGAAAAAAATCCATCTGAATTCTACCGAAGTGATATAAAAGGAAATTTCCCATGATTTCTAATTTCACGAATATTTTCCAATTTTTTTAAAAAATCCAAATTTTCTTTTCTTTCTTTTTCCTAAATACATTACCATGGAGCAACAAAACATATTCGAACAAAAGGAAAAGATTACTAAGAAACAGTATACCAAAGATGATATGTACCATATTGCAGAATTATATGGACACTACTATTTGGCTATCAATACTCACAACAATATTTTGTCACCAAACAGAGTTCAAATCAACAATCAGCATTGGAAAGCGTTCACGTTGGAATACAACAAGCGCCAAGCCCTCCTTCCCAACAATGAAGGTTATTTCAGGTCCGAAAAAGCTCTTCTCGAGAAATATGATACTATGAAAACAACGTATCAGAACAAAAAGGAGACCATTACGTCGACCGGTTCGGGAGGTGGCCCACTTCTTAGGTACCTTCAAAAAATGCATAATTATTTGCATAAGGACCCCCAGCTTCACCCAAAGGCCACATATAGCTCCTTAAAAAGAGCTTATAGTGTTCGAGATGGCGAGGATAACAATGATGATGTTGTCGTCTCCGAAGATTCTTGCCCCCCTCGCTCTTTCCCTCCCTCTGCCTCCATAGGCGAACAAAAAAAGAAGAGGAAATCTGTCAAGGAAGAAAAGGAGCTAGCTCGAGTGAAGTCTAGAGATGAAACTTTGGAACAGATGAAGCAAATCACGGAAGGTATGACAAGAAAGCTCGAGGAGATTATGAGCAAGCCTCTTGTTGTTCAACACGTTGAATCTGAAGAGAAGAAGGAGTTTTACAAGAAGTTTCTTGAATTGATGGAAAATGGTTTGAAATAAATTTCATGTCATATAATTTTTATTGAAACTAGTTCAAAAACGTGTTAACATAAACGTTTAAAAGATCTCGTCGTTGTCATCCAGCAGTTCGTTCCAAAGGAGTGTTTGTTTCAAATGTTGCCGGACAATCACTTCCTGAAACAAGTGACAACTCGACTAATTCTTCATCAGTTGTATGAAACGTATTATTAGCATTGATGCAAAAGGTATGCAAAATACATCTGGTATTAACAATTATGACCAAACGTAATTGGTCTTGGATGTACACATACGTCCAAAAAATCTCCATCGCTTCACAAGAATACCAAATGCTCTTTCAACAACCTGCCGCATTGCACTGAACTTGGCGTTGAATCTTGCTTTGTTGGGATCAAGATTAGAACCAAGCTGAGAGTACAGCGTAATGACATGGTAGCTCAATGGGTACACCGAATCTCCCAGAATATACGCATCTTCGAAAAAGTACCTCTTAGGATTCTTCAACATCTCCTTAGCAATATCGATTTTGCTGAGAACGTGTGCGTCATGACATCTTCCGCTTTCACCGGCATACACAAAATTGAACTTGCATTCAGAAGTGACAGCAGCTGTTAAATTCACGGAGAGATTTGACTTACGATCACGATAGCTCTCGGACGTTTCCTTTGGTCGGTGAATGACAATTAAGTTGCCATCAACAGCTCCAATGACATTTGGCAATCGTTTAATTGACAAATCATCCGGGTAAGGGAACTCGAAACCATGCTTTACCTTCCGGAATTCATCTTCGGTTGATGGCCATGAAATCAAGTGGCCTAATTGGTCCTTTACTGCCTCTAGAAACCTTTCCGTAAAATTGAAGAGGGAGCCTTGGCCAAATCCCGAAGTTGCTTTCATCATTCTGTAACAGAAATGACAATTACAAAAACGCCAGAGCACAACTGGCACTTGCATGTACGTGGGTGTACTGTTATGCGAAATACTGATCAAAATTTTGATCAGTTGATTGAGTGTAGCTTTTTTCATTCTATAGTGCGCCTTGTAGCTTTGAGATTTGTCATCATCCCTCAAATTATCATGAGTAATGGACAAGTATCGTTTGTTTTTAATGAGTCTAAAGTGGATAGGTGTCATGAACTCATTTCATCATGTCCTAGATCATGCCTTGATTTTAAACCCTTGTGAAACCCTGTCCTAGAATCTAATATCAGTCTACCTTGTCCGCTACCAAACTCCCTGTAAAACCTTGTACCCAAAATCATATCTGTATATGTTGCCCGCTTCCTGAATTCCTTGTAAAACCTACCACCAATCTGTATTCTAATATACTTCCCGCCTCTTGTCTGACTCAATCTTAGTAAATCTTTTTCCGATCATCTATTACTTCATTTCCCAATCCAGTTTTCCCGCCCGTGTCAAATCAGAGACATTCCCCGAACCATCTAAATATTCAATGTCAACTAAATCCAGCCTGCTATTACTCGTCGAATCTCAATTACTCATCCTTGTCAAATAATCTGCTCATGATATCTGTTCGGTAAAGTCCCTTGTTAATCCATAATTTAAACCCATCGTAGCTTTTCCCATGTATAAGAAATACTATAAATAGATACTAGTTATTTATTAGAAAAACGTTATTCTGGATCTTAGTCCTAACCCCTCCCCCTTCTCTGAAATAAACTTTCCTTTATTATCATTTTTACTCTGACTCTCGTGTCACCAAGTAGTCTTCTTTCTGTTCTTGTTCTGTTTCTGGCAATAGGACTGGACTAGAACACGTCTTCTTCGAACTGCTTAAACATTACTCTAGGAACTACGTTTATTGCTGTCAATAAAATCTGTTGGTATTTTTCCATGACAATCCTCACAGATTCACATGTCATGACATGTTCCTCCTATTCAAGTTTCTGAAGGAAAAGTGGCATATACTTTGCGATATAAAGCATCTTCTCTCTAGGAGACTTGATTATTTTAGGATTCATTTTTGTATAAATTTTTGTAACTAAGGTACGATTTTGTGTAGTAATTTTAGTATTTTCAATAAATAATTTATTGTTCCACGAAATAATTGATTTTATAATTGAAACGGCGAACTTCAGATCAGATCAGATTTGAATTTTTTTTTTTGCTTGAGAACAACCTAAATAATATCAGAGCGAAAGTAATTACCAAACATGTCACAGTTGACAGCTTGATGTACTTGTCACTATTCACCTTGTTTGGGGTTATCTACATCATACCCAACCGAACAAAGTTGAAGATAGAAATAAACCGACCATTTGAAGTTGCCATCAAAGATGATTGAAACATCATCGAGATATTCGCTAAGTTGGTTACCAAACTTCCCAACTTTGAACGACTTTCTCCTATACAAAAACCGGAGTTGACGGTGCATTTTTTGGACCCAATTCTTTCGCCTATTTTTGATTGACCTGACAACAAGTATCTCTTTTGGTTAAATTGTAAAGATAAAAATACAGCGATATTCCGACCAGATGCGACCACTGTTGCGATCCTGCAAAAAACAGATAATGTTACTTTGCGTTACGTAGAAGTGAATCCGTCAGATTTCAAATCCAATCCTGAGTTCTCATTAAATAGACTTGGTTCCTTTTGGCACATTTTCTCGCCGTTTGATGTTAAAGAAAAACAATTGTAAGGTGGTTGTGGTGCAATGCATTCGTTATCATATTGTTCTACTTGGTCTGAACATTCAAAGAATAAGTCACACAATTGGCAGAGACTTTGTCTATCGATGTACCTAACGAAATTGGCCGAATTAGGTACATTCTACAAATAATAGACTACTTCAAGAGATTATTCTATTTGAATGAGCATCAAATAGAGACTCGGTACAAAATCTCAAGAGCACTTGAGGAAGAAGACGCTGCTCCCCCAATGGATGCAATCAATCCCAAACGTCCGAAACAAAAGATTCCCTCGTTCTCTTTGGTGTATGATTTCTCGCTCCCCTTCATATTTTTTTCTCCTGTAGTCCAATATCATGAAAAAATGCATAACCAAGGGCCCTCGCCAAGGACATCAAACTATTTTTTAAAGATCCCGATTAAGGACTTTAATTTTTTTTTTTTTGTGAAAGGTTACTTCAAACTTCCAAAAGAATTTTTTTTAAAATCCATGACGATGCTTTTTAAATGACCCATTTTGAATGATTAATAATAAAGTTTTTGCAGATTAGTAAAATATCTGTTCCTTTATTTTTTAGAAACAAAATTTCAGTTTAACCGATTTTTTATTATATTTTAAAAAGATAAAAATTACAGTTTAAAAATGATAACCCCACAATAAATTGCGTTTGTCGTGTCTCCGTTGCAGTCCTAATAGTTCGAATCAACAAAGAATCTGAATCTCTCGATGAAGATAGAATGGAAATTCTTAATTCTACTGGACAACGCCTCGTAGAAAATATAACGACTCCTCATTCCAGTAGGAAGGATGGAACAGGTACGCTGTCCAGCAGACGGAGGGTTTACTCTGGGTCGGCCTCTTACCACAGGAGAGTTTGGGCGTTGGCCATTGATGAAGTCAGCACCTGAATAATTTTGGAAACTCATATCTGTAAAATAAAATGGAGATGTCAGAAAAAAAGTAAATCAATAAAAATGAAAGGCTCTTACAGTGCATCTGTTTTACAATGAACAATTTTCGTTAAAACGGACATTTTCTGAACTTAAAAGTCGGATTTTTAGACTAGTGATTTTTATATTTTTTGACAGAGAAATCTAATTTATCGCGGGAAAATGTTTAACCGGGATATATCCAATGGATTTTTATGAATTTTTGCACTGTAAAACACCTCCCGGACATCTTTGGGTCTCCCCACTGTAAATGGCCAATTTTGTTTTGCCATCTGTAAAAAATTTTGTGTGAAAAAAAAAATCAGGCTCTATTAGTTTGTGGAGAACTCTCTAATAAAGAATGTAATAGAGCCGGATTTTGAATACCTGTTGAATTCATCGAGGAGATAGAGTTTTTATATTTTTTGAAAAATCGGAGCCAAAAATTGTTCATTGTAAAATAGATGCACTGTATTGAAAAATAAAACAAAATTCGTGATTTCAGTAATCGGATTTGAACATTAAATAATCTGATAGAAGGTTTTTGGGGCCTGCAGATTTTAATTCTTCGCTTGGACAATTCGAATTTTTTGGCACTGAAAATATTTAATGTTGTTATTAATCGTCCATATATATTATTAAAATTTTAAAAGATTCTATTTGGAAAACTGTAACCTTTCACAAAAAAAAAAAAAAAAAAAAAAAAAAAAAAAAAAAAAAAAAAAAAAAATGGGGCTCCCCTTCGGGTCGCTGATCCCATTTTTTTACAGGCGTATCAGACTTTGTCCTCCGACCACATATTTTTTGACCTACGCTACGCTCCGGTAAAAATACGCGGTTCCCGGAGGACCCATCAGATGATAACATTTTTATTCTATTAATACGAAAACATTTTATTTAATTCACGTTAATAGCCATAACGGCTCGTAAAAACTAGTGAAAGAAATATATGTTCCAGAATCGACAATTTCTTTGTTTGTAAAAATATTATCGATAAATGTCTTTTGCTTAGTAGTGGAAGTGACGGTACTGGGAAGAGATGATTTTAAACCTTTTAGTTCTAATAAATTCAAAATCGCTGATTTTTTGGAAGATTCTTCAGTAAAATGCACGTTAAAGTCACCACCAATAACAATATAATCATATTCTTGATCTAAAACAAAATTCAATGATTCCAATAGTAACTGCTGACTTGTACGCGGAGAAGCATATATGCTGCAAAATAAGCTAGAATCAACATTAACAAATGATACACTCGCAGATGAATTATTGTCTCCTATAAAAAGTTCAGATTGTGAGGCATACTTGTTACACAATCTATCAGATATATAACAGCGAGAGCCTAGAGGCTTTCTAACAGTACCAAAACAATTTGCTGAAGATACCATTTTAAACCCAGGAATATCAAAGCAATCATCACGAAGAGTCCAGGTTTCATTCAAAAGGATAATATCTGAAGAGATATAAACTGGATCGTTTACAATCTGATCAAAATGAGCCTGCAAACTTTGGACATTATGTGAAAGAATTTGAAAACTCTTTTTTTCCTTAAGTCTTGTAAATACGTATTTGAGAACAATAGTTTTTTGTCGTTGTATTTCCAAATACAAATCGGATGTGCTTCCTCCTTCTAAAGACTTCGGTGCTAAAAATTTGTTGTTCTTGCTTATGATTACAAGACCTGCAGCGGTTGTAGCTCTTGAACAGGCAACATAAATTAATGACCTGCTCATTTTCGAACTCGCATAATTATAAACAACCACGTTGTTGTAAGTACCACCTTGCGACTTATGAATGGTAGAGTGCATCTGCTTTTCAGTAGTTCCTAACGTGTTTTGTGACATTTTTGAGCATTCATCTCCGACTAGTACAAGTAATATAAAAGGAAATTTATTCATAGCCAGATTTTTTATGTGGGGGGGATTTTTTTTGTTTTTTGAAGAAAATTTTTCAGTGGAAGTAATATTGGGCCTCCGGCTGCGATTTCATAGGCCGGCTCTAAACAGCTTCAGATCAATATTTCCAGCCTTTCAATAGATAAATTATTTTTAAAAAGGGTCACGCATCTTAAGAATATTTGTTTTAATGTAGATTTTAAAATTCAAGTAGTTCTACTAAGTACACAAAAAAGGATGAAGTTATTTCAAGCCATTGCTAACGATTAAATATAGTCTGTGCGCGGTTTTTTAAATCGTGAGCACAAACCAGTGGTTATTTCAAACTCCGGCCACGGCTAATGATATTAGCGGCAGGTTACTATTGGCTCTAAAACCTTTTTGTACAGGTTGTGTCATTTTTTCCCCGCCCCCACCTAAAAAAAAAATGTTGAATCCAGAATCTGTTATGTTTTTTAATTTAATATATGTAGATTCTCATTTTAATCAACATAAAAAACAATCCTAACCTTTCAGATAGGATATTAATATATAAAAATAATAGGAATTAGGAATTGTAAAAAACAGTCACAAAGTTACGAATTTTTTGAGGGGGTGCGGGGGAAACCCCCGCAAGAGGGG